CCCTCCCAACTATTCTCCAACCTGCATCTGAGTCATTCAAAGCAGTAGAAACATTTGGAGTGATGACAAACTGCCCATGAACAGTGAAATCAGTAGTAGCAGGGACAGTAGGAACTTTAGCAACCCAGTTTTGTTGCTTAGGAGTTGCAGTCACTGACTGCTTGGGAGCTGCAGTCACTAATGTCTTAGAAACTGCTGGAGCTTTAACTGAACATTCATGGCAAACTTTATTGCATTTAGAGCAAAAAGGTGGAGTCCATTCATAGACTACCTTAAGTTCCAGAATTTCCTTTGAGGGGTTTTCCACAAAAACAGATTAAGGTAAGGGCTTAGTAACATCAATCTCTATCAAAACTCTAGCAAAGGAAACTATTAGTTGTCTAGTAGTATATTCATCAGAAAAAATTGGGATACCAAGGAAACTACCAATACGACTAAGAGTTTCAGGACCCCAGCAATTTAAAGGTAAGTTTGGGAACTTAACCCATAAAGGAACAGTTCTCAAAATCTCAACACCAAAATCAAATTTGGAGCTCCAAGGCTTAATGATTGCTGGTTTCCCAAGGAACATATGTGGACCAGAACAAAGAATAGTATCCTTATCACTAATTGAGCAGCAATTAATGATAAAATACCCATCATCGTGCTAAAATATGTCTGGTTTTTTCACATTATACCATTGTTGAGCTATAAAACATTGAACAACAGCAATGGTAGGATAATAACCAACCACATAGAAAACTATAGCTTTAGACCATTTATTATTACCTTCCATAAGTTCATAATCCTGCAACTAAGCTATCTGTTTCCCATCTTGAACCATCAGGGCAACATAGGACAGGAGAGCTCCCTTAGCAGTCAACGTCTAAGAAAAAAATCTAGGTCGATCTTCACCATCTCTGTGTGTATTCTGCTCCGGGGAAGGTATAGAATGAGACTCAGGAATAGTTGGTTCAGATCGTTGAGCAGCAGCTCCAGCATCCAATGGAACAGTAACCCCAGAAACCCTAGGTACTATTCTATTAGATACCGAGGATGCTGGTCTAGAAATGGCTTCAGCAAAATAGTGCAATAGTTTCAGCATCACTCCGGGGAATAGAACTACAAGATGGATTGACCAGTGTCGGCGCCGGAGTGACCAGCTCATCTGCCTCCTGAACCGGGCTTGGCACAAAATTAGAGACTGAGTTTCGCAAATTCTGCAAAATTGTATCAAAAACTGGATCACTAGAATTCCTATGTTGTACTAATTGAGGTGTAGAATTGTTCTGCTTCTTCTTAGCCATCAAAAATCAAGATTGATAAAGAAACCAATCAAAATCGAAGAATCATGGAGAAGAGAGAGAAGATGACTATGATAATTCAAATGTAGATAGAGTTTATAAATGCTCATTGATAATAGAGAAGATCTCCAATACAATTGTCACCATTGAATCTTCAATCTCTCAATCACCATTGAAATTCCTCACTTTCTCTCTCTAAAATCTACTCCTAAAACTAACCCTAAAACTAGAGAGAAAAGCTCTCAACTAAGCTAAGAATATGATCAAAATTTAATATGAAACTTATTCTAAACTTGCCCCAAAAATCGTGTTACAAAGATATTTTTAGAGGCGCGAAACACCAAAAATCGAGCAACAAATACCCAGGGAGGCGCGCCCGTGCAGCAGGAGAGGCGCGCCCGCACCATGGGGAGGTGCGCCCGCGCCACACTGTGGTGCGGCCGCACCCGAGCTTTACGCGCCCGCGCTTCACTAGGTTTCTTCGAAATTCTCGCGGCTTCGTGCGTTCGCTAAGGTCGCGCGACTAAGATGATGGTGAACACTAGGAGTGGCAGTAGCTTAAGCTCTAGATTAGTGGGTACACCACTTCTTAATTGTAGCACGGCATGAGAGCGCAAGAGCCAAGACTTGGAATTTCCACTTCCTTGCATCTTGAGTTTTCCAAATGCCGTGAGCTTGCTCCAAAGGCTTTCTGCACCTTAGTAGATCACAAATATTAAGACCCAAACCTCTTACAATACCTACAACCACGGAAATAGAGAAAATAAAGGAGAAAAGGCTAGAAAACCAACAAAATACACAAAATAAGAGAGGAAAGGTAAAACTAAGCAACAAAGAACAAAACTAAGCATTTATTGAGTAAGAAAGATATGAAAAGAGGATGAAATCAACCTAAATGCTCATCAAATGGTGCCATTTATGACACCCATCAACATTTGGAAAAGTCCTTTCATGAACATTTGTTTGCTTTTCTTGTATTTTGGTTCCTTTTCATGCTTTTCCTAGTTTGTATTATTACGAGAGTTATAGGTTAATCTCATAGGAAACCTTTACGAGAGCATCACTCGTCCTCTAGGGCGATCTAGGGGTTTAAATGGCTTGTCTTTAGTTGCTAAACTTGACCGTGATTCCTACGAAAGTGAGTTAGTGTATATTCCCATCCTCTCTAGTTTTCTAGTTTCCTTATTTGCTTGAATAATGTCATCTTTTTTCATTGGGTTTGATTTTGTTTTGCTCGAGGACGAGCAAAAGTTTAGCTTAGGGGAATTTGATGTGCGTCATTTGTGGCGCTCAAAAGAATAAGATTTTGGTCCTTTTTCGATATTTTCTTTCTTTATTTTCCTATAATTTTCTTAGTTTTCCTTGTTTTTCCATTTTAATAAATCATTTTGAGTTTTGATTAGTTTTGTTTTGTTTTTCATTATTTTAGTCCTTAATTCATAGTTTTAGTTTTATTTCTTTAATTTTCTATTTTACTTTATTTATTTCTATTTTATTTATTTTATTTTATTTTGTCTTGATTTTTCATCTCGGGTTTGCTTGTATGTAGGTGTGGTTTGGATCGACGTATGTGTATTAATCTGGAGTAACGTTTGAAGTTTTAGGTCCTAATCAAGGAAACAATTGAGCAAGTAGCCCAAGCCGGAATCAGCAAGCAGCCCAGTCGCGGGGTCTGCATCCGCGGGCGCGGGATCGCATACACCAAAACAGCCAAAAAATCAGGCAGTAAGCCCCCGAGGTCTGGCCGCGGGCTTACCGCGGACGCGGCTCTAGCACCGCGGGCGCGACCGTCGTGCCCTGTTCCAGCCAATTCTCACTCACACACTTCCCCGACTCTCGCATTTAACACACTTTTCACCTCCAACCACCAGCCGCAATAACCATCACCTTTGCACCACCTTTCAGCCGCTACCAGCCGCAACAAACACCACCTTCGCACCACCTTGTAGCCGTAACCAGCCACACTAATTACCTCCAAAAACAACTGCACCTCCCAAGCTGCACTACCCCCGTAACAGTACACATCGACTGCCCCTTTCAACCTCCAAGTTAGTGCGCACAAGGTGGGTGTAAATTAGCCGTTGATTTTGATTAATTTAATTATCAAAAGATTGTGATGCGCATGATTAGTGGAGTGAGAAGCAGGGGATTAATTCCCATTTGAAGAGCCGTTATATCGCAGCCTCTAACTTTTTATTTTGGTTTTCTTTTCTTTTAATTCTCTTTTTATTTTTCTTTTTATTTTATCTTCCTTTTATTTTATTTTCCTTTTACATTCTTTTTCTTTTCTTTTCTCTTTTATTTTCTTTTACCCTTTTAATTATAAATACCCATTTTGGGGTAAAATTTAGAGAACAATTAGAATAAGAATTAGACCACATTTTCTTAGATTAGTTGAGAGCTTATCTCTCTAGATCTAGGGTTAGTTTTAGGAGTATATTTTAGAGAGAGAAAGTGAGGAATTTGAATGGTTATTTGAGAGGTTGAAGATTCAAGATCACAATTGTATTGAAGATCTCCATTATCAATCAATGAGGATTTCTCATTCTCTCTCCTCTTTATTACTTTATCCAATTTTATGTTTTTTTGAATTGATTTTGATGTTTGATGCTTAATTAGTGTAGTTGTTCTTGATATAATATTAATTCTTAATTTCTTTAGTTGTTTGTTGGTAGATGATGATATTTGAGTAGTTCTTTGGCTAGGAATCGGGTGAATTTTGTATGATTGATTAATTGAGATTAATTTGGGAATTGTGTTGATTGATTGTTGAGATTAAAGTGATTATGAGGGTTTGCATGTGTGTAATTCGATGAGGCCTTATGAATTATGCTATATTGCATTGTAATTGCTAATGACACGAATAATTGATTTAGGAATTGCAATTATCGATTGGTTTTGATTGTGATTCTCTTTGTTTGTTATTCATAGTGAACCCTAGCTTAACAATTAGAAGATAACTCTTTGATTCCAATTGATTGCTCCTATTATTAGTCTTCACAACCTTTGATTGGCATGATCTTCCCAAGTTGTTGCAATTGACATGATTACTTGTTGATCCCTGTTCCTAGTGTTTTATTTCCTTGGTTACTTGTTTTGTTAGTTGTTAGTTTTCTCTCTTATCTTCGCCTTCAACCTAGCTTAGGCACCCAAATCGAAAGCATTTGAACATTACCGTTTCTTTCGGTTTGACCCTTGATTTGCCTCTATACTTGTATTGATGTTTGTTAAGTGTTTATAAATTTAGTTTGACTGGGGGAAGATAAGATAACGACCTAGTATTTCCCTCGTCAAAGTTCCCCGGGGCTAAGACATATGTAGAACACACATGTTTTTTTTCAGAAAAATCGAGGGAAGCTTACTATGAGAAGAGAAATAAAGCCACTAGAAGTATTTAAACATTGTCGTGATACGACAAAATCTATTGTTTCACGGTGCTGGACACTGCGTCACGGTTAGGGCTGTACACCGGTCCAAAACCGGACCGGACCTGGACCGGACCTGTTAGGACCGGGACCTGAATCAGCCAATTCTGAGGACCGGGGACCGGACCTAATTCAGCAGGTCCGGGTCAGGTCCAGACCTGAGCAATCAGGTCCGGGTCAGGTCCAGACCTGAATAGACCTGTTTTGTGTGTTTTTTTTTTTTGTTTTTTTTTAAAGAAAATAAATAACCTGTTGGACCTAATTATAGACCTGTTTACATAAAATCTGAAAATATCAATGACAAAAACTACATAAAATCTATAAGTCTCAAATATAACAAATAATTCATTAAATTACATAAAGTCTCTAAGTCTCAAATACTAGAAATACATAAATTATCCAAAGACAACTTGAATTTTGGCGAGTTGCTTTCCCTTTGATTGCGTGATTCACACTAATGAGTCAACGAAAACAACTTCATCGTCTCCATCGTTAGATACATCATGTTGCACCTCTAAATAAAAAAACATTATAGAATATATTAATGAATGATAACAATGAAATAATAAATTTGGTGTAACAAAATTACAAGTACATAAAATTAATACTACCTTTCTCCATTTCTTGTAACTCTTTCAAATTTTCTTCCATATCCTCTTACTTTTTCTGTTCCATATGTATTCCCGCCCCGCTTTTAACTTCTTATCTGGAGGCAAAGTAGATTGCAATTCTTCCATATCCTTTTCAAAAAGTGGCTGTGGCATTTCTTGAGAAAAAGCAGCAGATCTTTTGGATTGAGAGCTCTCCATCTTCAATATAATTATACACAATCTTCAATATAATTATACACAATATAAGTAATTTTTAAGTAACAATTATAAACACATAACATTTTATAAAAAAATGTGAGAACAACTTACATTGCAAGAGTAAGAATCCGTGGTTCTTGTTGATCCTAAACATATAAAACGATAGAATTCAATTACAATTCAAATTGAATTCACAAAATAAACAGAATACATACAAATATACAATACACCAACAAGGCAGCAAATTCTACAATATGAACTAAATTCGAAAGAAACAGATTTTAAACAGATTTATCAATCTACTTTAAACAGATTTATCAATCTTTTCTGATTTATCAATCTACTCCCAGCAAATTCACGGAATAAACAGATTTTAAACACACAAATCGAAAGAAACCAAAATTCAACATGCATTCGAAACAAATGAACTAAAATAATTAAAAAACAGTTACTTAAAATAAATAAAAAAACCTCAAAAAAAATCATGAATTGGAAAAAAATGAACTAAAAAATAGAACTTGCAAACATCAAACAATCATAATAAGCAATTGAAATACAAAATACCCAATTCAAATATAATTAGATTTAATTTAAAAAAAAAAGAACTTACAGGATACCAAAATTCAACATGCATTCGAAACAAATGAACTAAAATAATTCAAAAACAGTTACTTAAAATAAATAAAAAAAAACCTCAAAAAAAAATCATGAATTCGAAAAAAAGTTAACTAAAAAACAGAACTTACAAACATCAAACAATCATTATAAGCAATTGAAATACAAAATACCCAATTCGAATATAATTAGATTTAATTAAAAAAAAAAAAAGAACTTACAGTGAGATGCAGATGCAGGGTGTAGTCGTCGACTCGTCGTTGCAGGATGTACAGCGTGTAGTCACTGCTGGTCTGGACGTCTGGTGGGCGGTGGCGACTTCCGACTTGTGTCTGGGCGCCTGGGCGGTGGTCTGGAGGGAGTGGGTGTTGTCGTGTTTGCTTGTCGGCTGAGAGAGAGAGAGAGAGAGAGAGAAGTGAGTTAGGGTTAGTGTGTTAACAAAAATGAAACTGACTTCTTTTGAAATTTGGGATTTTTTTTTTTTTTTTATAAAAAACGCATTTTTAACGGGTTTCAGGTCCAGACCTGAAAACCCCGGGTTTGGACTTGATCCGGACCGGGACCGGAAACCTTGATTTTCAAGGACCGGGACCGGACCTGAATCTACAGGTCCGGGTCAGGTCCGGTCCCAACAGGTCAGGGTCAGGTCGGTTTTCAGGTCCGGTCCTGTTCATGTACACCCCTAGTCACGGTGCCCTGCGCCGTGACACGGCAATCTCTGTCGTGGCACGGCAATCAGGAAATCTGACTTGTGCCTTTATTTTCTTCGTTCACGACTAGGTTATCCAATTTTTCCTACAGGACAGACCTGAAATACGACGTTAAAACGTCTATGCATATGTAAAAAATTCCAATTTAATCACAAAAATATTTTCAAGAATCTTTCAAGTCTCATTGACTCATCTTAATTAATTACCGATAACTCAAATTGATAAATAACCAAGAATCCTTCCCAGCGGTGTTGCTCGAAGTACACCAACGTTTAAGCATGTATTGAATATGCTTGGCACTCATTGGAAGTGGCAATTGACATAATACGATTAGGGACAAGGAAAGTAGGCCGCCAACAAGTTTTTAAGGAACTTGTAAACCGTTCACGGATCATAAAAGGCAACCACAAATAAAGGGACAACGAAAGGCAACAACCATTGACCCGTGAAGGTTACACCCCATTCATAATCCATGAGATTACTAACTCCATATGGTTCGGAACCACAAAAGGAGGATTGGTGATGATGGTACGAAGTGAGTGGTGGTGTCACATTCGCCCGTATTGGCCTCTACTCGATTCTTATAGTGAAAAGTGATTCCTCCGATCTCAAAGGAAAACAAACAAAATATTCAATTTGCTCCAAACTATCATTAAGCTAAATTTGTTGAATATTAATGCAACACATAATTCTAAAATATTTGTGATCACTTTAGTAAACAACAATATTAAAAAATAACCTAAACCGGTCGTCCAAATAATCTTATTAGGCGTAATTTTCAATTACATATTCCCTTTAACATGTAATATAGGGATCATAACAATAATAGAATAAACATTAATATTGGAAGCAATTTCACAATAATTCCATAAGTCAAATCTAATATAAATTAACCTAATCATGATACTAGCAATATTTAAAATAAAATAAGTAATTAAATTAATTAATTACTCACATTCCGCGCGTTCCTTTAAATTGCTAAATCATGAATAAATTGCTAGTAACTTCAATAAAAATATAAATCAAATGGAAATTAAATTAAATAAATGTAGAGTTGATTTGGTCCAAACCCTCAGTTATTTTTACCTTTCACAGCTGTGTTTAAAGACGGAACCTCATGTCGAGTACGGCCTCTTTGGAGTTCTTAAGGAAGAAATGATGTAATTAGAAATATAGGTTTAAGGCTTAGAATATAAGGGAAAGAGAGAGAGAAGATAATGATTTTTGGTGTAAAAGAGAGGAAGAGATAATCATTTGATGCTTCGAAATGCAGAAAGAAGGGGGGTATTTATAAGGAAAATGAGCTCAGGGAACACACGAAACCCTAAAAAGATAAAAACCCTAAAAACACTACCGCGACACGACAAACTATACCGCAACACGGAAAACTACGCCGCGACACGCGGAAAAATGGTGTGACGCGGGGAATTAGCAGCCCTAAAATGATAAAACGCATTTTAGGTACCGTGTCACGAGAGAGCACTGTGACACATGAAAAATACCATGTCATGGTACCAGGCGCCGCGCCACGTCATCAGGCGATGTGACACTGCAGTTTTACTTAATGTGCGGTAATTCCAGTTTTTAATACGTTTTTAAAATTATCATAACTTTTGATCCGTAACTCGGATAAGACATATAATATATCATTGGAAAGCTTCTCAAATCTAATTTCCATCCCAATTTGAGTCAGGTCAAAATAATTTGTAGATTTTATGAAATGGACGTTTTAGTAGAAGGGTGTCGGTTTTTGGCCGAGTTTATTGTTTGGCTCCTATCTTCTTCTTTTTAAATCAGAATTGGGCTTGTGATATATTGCTGGAAAGCTTATTACAAGGCCTATCTAACAAAATAATACTTGGATCAAAATTATAAGGCAACAAAATCAGTTTCTCTCGGTTTGCGATGTGATCACGAAAAGAGGAAAACAAGTTACGGTTTAGGGAAATGAGCTAGGAAATTGATTGGTTTATGAAATGTATTTAATGAAAACATGGAATTAATAAGTACTCCAAATATTAAATATTCAACCCAACCAATAACAATAATAGAATAAACAATAATATTGGAAGCAATTTCACAATAATATCGTAAGTCAAATCTAATATAAATTAACCTAATCATGATACTAGCAATATTAAAATAAAATAAGTAATTAAATTTATTAATTAATTACTTACATTCTGCAGGTTCCTTTAAATTGCTACATCATGAATAAATTGTTAGTAACTTCAATAAAAATATAAATCAAATGGAAATAAAGTTAAATAAATGTAGAGTTGATTTGGTCCAAACCCTTAGTTATTTATACCTTTCACCCTTTGGTTTAAGGACGGAACCTTAGGTCGAGTATGAACTCCTTGGAGTGCTTAAGGAAGAAATGATGTAATTAGAAATATAGGTTTAAGGCTTAGAATATAAGAGAGAAATAGAAGAGAATGATTTTTGGTGTAAAAGAGAGGAAGAGAGAATCATTTGATGCCCCGAACTGCAGAAAGGAGGGGGAATTTATAGAGAAAGTGAGCTGAGGGAACACGAAACCCTAAAAAGATAAAAACCCTAAAAAACACTGCCGCGACACGGCAAAGCATACTGTGACCCGGCAAACTATACCGCGACACGACAAACTATGCCGCGACACAAGGAAAAATGGTGTGACCCGGGGAATTAACAACCCTAAAATGATAAAAACCGTTTTAGGTTTTACGCGGAGAAATATGGAGTGACGCGGCAAAATATGGAGTTACGCGGCTGCACCATGACACGGAAAAATATAGTGTGACGCGGCAAAATTTAGAGTGACGCGGCAAAATATGGAGTGACGCAGCAGAATATGGAGTGTCGCGGGACATTTTTTGCGTCCAAGTTCATAAGCGCGTGAGAAAAGTAACACGACAAAAAAACGAGAGATCACCGTGACATGTGAATAATACCGTGTCATGGTAGCATGCGCCGCACCATGTCATTAGGCGTCGTGACACTGCAGTTTTACTTAATGTGCGGTAATTCCTGTTTTTAACATGTTTTTAAAATTATCGTAACTTTTTTATGTAGTTTTGAATAAGGCATATAATATATCATTGGAAAAAGTATCAAGTCTAGTTTATAACCCAATTTAAATCAGGTCAAAATCATGTGTATTTTTTAATATATGGCCGTTTAAGTAGAAGGGTGTTGGTTTTGGGCCGAGTTTATTTTTTAGTTCATAACTTCTTCGTTTTAAATTGGAATTGGGCTTATGATATATGGTTTCAAAGATTTTTAAAAGGCCTATATTACAAAATAATAATTGGATCAAATTTATAAGGCAACAAAATCAGTTTCTCTCGGTTTTGCGATGTGGACACAAAATGAGGAAAACAAGTTATGGTTAAGGGAAATGAGCTAGGAAATGGATTGGTTTATTAAATGTATTTAATGGAAACATGGATTTAAGTACTCCAAAGATTAAATACTCAACCCGACCAATAATGGCGGTGAAAGGTTTTTCATCATCGGGTTTGGTTTTGGGAGACATTTTTAGGTGTCTACACGTTCTTGTTTGCTTCTAACTAATCTATGAACATCCCTGCAAAGAAAACGAGCCTTGATCTAGGCTATGTGCAGCAAGGAGATAGAGAAGGGTTGCGATCGTACGTCAGGATGTTCAATATGGTGAGAATCCAGATCTAAGGACTGTCTGACAAAGTGGCTTATATAGACTTTTTCAAAGGTATGAAGGATGGGTCGACTTTCAAATTCGAACTCGTTCCTAAGAAAAGTTTCACCCTTTAAGGAGCCTTGATGGTGGTGGAAGCAGCTCTGCTCCTTCAATAAGCAGTCGGACTCAAAGAATTCAGACCGATAGAAGGAGAGTCGTCTTGCTCAGCCAACTCTAAAACTAGAAGAAAGTAAAAAGAAAAAACAGCCAAATCTGCAGAAGTTCCATATTGAAAAAAAAGTGATCTAGGTGGCCTTCACTGAAACAGTTTATGGTATTTGGATCCAGAGGAATGCAGTTCTTTTTACTGGTTGTTGCAAATCTGTTGATGCTCTAGTTAGGGATATTGTCTTTGATTCAGTTTGTAGAATCCCGGCGGGAAGCAAATATTTGATCGTTTAGGAGCTTGTTTCTAGCTCCTAGTGTTTGCGTTCTGGTTTCTTTTTCTTGGGGTTATTGTTTTATCTGTCTTGTTTTGGTTGCTCGTTTGGCTCTTTATTTGGTCCTGGGTTCTGATGGTGCTTTTATTTTCTTGAAGTTGTGAATCCGAGTTGCATATGTTATTGTTTTTGCTGTTCTTAGCAGGGGTGTTTTGCTGTTTGCTATGGTTGGTGTTGTGCTGCCTTTGCTGCTGTCTGCACTGTCTGCCTGCTATATGCACTGCTGACTGTCTGCTGGTTGTCTGCCTGCTACTGCACTGTTTGCTGCTTGCCTGCTGTCTGCACTGCTATCTGCACTGCTGACTACACTGCTGTCTGCTGCTTGCTGCTCTGTTGTCTGCTGAATGTTCTGCACCGCTGTCTGCTGACTGTCTGCCTGCTATCTTCTCTACTGTCTGCTGCTTGCTGCTGTCTGCACTGCTGTCTCTACACTGCTGTTTGCACTGCTATCTCCTGTTTGCTGCTGGGGTTTTGCTGCACTGCTGTTCTGATGGTGCCAGAGTTTGCCTATTGCTGTTTTGTGCTGCTGTTTAGCAGACAGGGGTCTGGTTTGCTGCTGGTTGCTGTTGGCCTCACCCTGGTGCTTTTGCTGCTGCTTCTTTTTGTGTTTGTTGGTTTTGCTGGTCAGTTTGCAGGCATGTCTGCTTATGATTGTTGTTTTTGGTGGTTTTGAGTGTATGGCTTTGTTGTTTGTTGCTTGTGTTTTTGTCTGGTCCTGGTTTCCAAAACCCTTCCTAGAAGGTGGCT